CAATTTCGCGATTCAGTTTTCAAAGTAGCGAATAAACCGACTATTTTTCGGTCAAACTTTATATAAGAACATCGTATTTTCATTGATTATGTATAGATAGGATAGCAACTTCATTGTCAACTTTATTTTTAGTAACACATGACCTGTTAATAATAAAAACTGGAAGAAATCAAGAGATTTTGCGGACATGAGAAATCGCGGAAAATTAAGTGAACTAAACGTTTTAAAATTTCCGCAAAAATCGCCGGACGCGAAATTAAAGTAGTTGTCGCGAAAATATGTGCCACCTCAAATGAAAATTCGCGACGAAACTGCGAAAATTAATTCGCGACGAAATTGAGCGCTGCGTTTTCGCGAAAGAAAAATGTCATAGTAATATAAATACTAACTCTCTCTGCAGACCCTAAAAAAAAGAAAAGCCTCCAACAGCCTAAAAGTTAAAATAAGTGGCGCCCCATTGGGAAGGCAACGCTTATTATTGTGTCACGGATATTTTAAGTCATTTTTGCCCCCAAAAAATAAGAAGAAAAGAAAAAGACAAGGAAAGCCTCACAAAATAATAGTTCATTCGGTTAGAAAAAAGAAAAAAAACACAAAGAGGTAATAATTAAACCAAAACAGGAACAAGGATGGTAGAGTGGGTTTCATAGAGGAGTAGAGGATGCAGAAGGAGATTGAAGATGATTTACGGGAGCGGATATGGCGAACTTGAAAAAATTGGCCCCCAATTTTTTCAAGAAGATGACAACAAACCGTTGACACGAAAGGCTCCAAGATACCACTTACTCTTGATGTGTTATCGAATTAAAAGGAGCCATCCTTAGTAGTCATATATTGTGTCGTTCTGTAGGTGTAGCGGGTGTTGTTACGGGTAGTAAGCGTGTGGTCCTCTACGGTGTACTGAAACTTTATACGTTCCTGGGAACACTAAACATTTCGCCGTTGTGTCGGTCTGGGGACGATTATTACAGGGCGAATCATTTAAATAGTAGCGGAATTATCAGAGCAAACCGGCCCTGTACCCACGACACCCTTTCCATTGTATCCTTGCCTTCTATCTGGCAATGTCATCTCGGGCAGAACGCTACAAATCGTTGCGCGGCTCTCCCTCTCAAATCTCGTAAGTGAAAATGATCATTTTCCAAATGAGTGTAAACCAGCCCATCTATCCGCGCTCATGCCCCGAGAGAAACGGTCTGATTTGTTAAGAAAGATATTAATATCTGTCAGTGGACACAAGCTACTCTGCAATAAAAAAAATTCCGCCCGGAGTTCCTCCCAAAGCCAACAGGAGTCGAACCACATGACCTCTCCGAACACTAGTCGGAACGCTCTTCTACCACTGAGCTACAGTTATGTGCAACTCGTGGGAGCTTTGTTAAACGCCCCATATTAACTAGGTTTCTTCAAGTGTGACAAACACCTTGATTTGTTGGTACAAGGCTTCGCCGCCGCGATTTCGCGATTTTTTGATTCGGCCCTGCGCGATTATCTCGTGTGCTTAAGTGACAACCAATTGAGAGAACATTTTATAATGACTTTTGAAAATAAAATGAACACGCCTGTTTTCTCAGGCTAAGGAAAAACCCATAATTAATTCTTTTTTGAGCTACACAAGAACCAATTGTTAAAAGCCTTGGTGTAGCTGAGACATGTTGCTGTGTCTACATTCATATAGAAATTTCTAAGCGACTCGTCATGGTCAGTGCCTGTCTTGGCTTCATTTCAATTTCAAAGCGACTAAAGTTCGATATTTAGTGGAGAAACAACAAGCCTTTTCTTGAAAGCTAAGAGAAAAGTAAAACACATTGTTAAAGGCAGGCTTCTTATTCTATGAGGACCTCGTGTGCCACCACACAGTCATAATAAGGGAATGTTGTCAAATGAGTGTGATGTTAAAAAGTTCACTTTTTATAAGAACCATTTTTTTATAAACGAAACGTTAAGGGGCTGGAAAAAGGGGCTCAAACTTAGGCTCAGGTTGAAATTTTGTAAAAAAACATTTTACTCCAACCCGTTAATACAATGCTCGGCGCCCAGTTTTTTAAAGAAAATATCATAGCTAGAATTGTGACAGTTTCGGGTCTGAATCCACCCATAAACACGAACAACTGTAGTTTTTGCCAGCAATTTATAAAATTTCTAGACTGATTAACATGTAAACTTAAGAACATTTCACAACCAACATTCTCAGGCTGAAAATCGCCCTAAAAAAAATAAGAGAACGTTCAGTCCTGGCTCAGGCCTCAGCTCAAAAAAAATTAGCGGTTTCTTATAAAAAGAAAAGAGAGGTGTATATAAGCTAGCCTGTTGGTCCTGGGAATTCTGGCATCTTAAGTTAGTTGCCATTATGCACTCATTCTGTTCAGTTCTGTTTTCTGTGACATTAAAGCGACTACAGTTCGAAATCTCCACTAACGGCCACCCCTGGACTATCTCTAACGGCCCATGGATTTTTCTTCCGACAATGCGACCCCCGATCCAATACCGATATACGAATTATGGTTTTGTATTATATACCTCGATTATGACACTTAAACTGGCAGGCTCGCTTGGTTTCCAAACTTTCTGTCAGTGGCGGTGGACGTCAAATCTCATGTCGACCAATGGTAAAATTATAAGGAGACACGTGACTGGAGTGCACGGTGACCGTGGCTTTGGGATCAAACTGGGATGGAGTTGTCGTTAACATCTATTTTCCAGGATACCACTTCTGAGGGGCTACCTTTTCCTGGCGAGTGACTGTTATATCATTCGGGACAGTGCCAAATCTTGGGGGGACGTGTAAGTCCTGATTAAAATCAACTGCAAAGAAATCCGTCAAGTGTGAGATCGCAACATGGTCTAGGCGGTGGGGTGGGGTGGGGTGGGGGCTTATCGACGGAGCGGGCGCTTATTTTATTTTCCCCAAATCTTGGCCAGACGGTCATTTCTTTTTGTAATATAATATTTGCGCGTAAACAACAACATAACCTGAGTATTAACATAAAAAGTTCGTATAGTTGTAATAGCGGCACCCTTGGTATTCGTAATTATTCGGTTCGCCAAGCATATTCACAACAAACTGAAACGAGTATTTATGTGCAAATCTGTTCGTATGGTAGTCAAGAGTAGTTTCAACTTTGATTCTGACTTTACCGATGATTATACAAAATGACGAGTGGTAAACATGACCAACACAATACCCAACCTTTGTTGTCTCAGTTCTCACCCAGAAAAAAATATGGGGAGGAGAGAGGGGCGCTTACTTAAGATTTTTTCCTCAGTTTTGAACTTAGCAATCTTGGGAGTGAAAGGGTTAATAGTCCAGTCTGAATGTTTATGGGGCAACTTACCCACACATTTGTATACTTTTCCACTCCAAGTTCCATTTGCCTGACACACAAATAGGAAAGACACCCTGTTATGGTTATGTTTCAGAGCGTATCCATGAGCGCAAACAAAGATACACGTATGGTTGACCACTGATGGCTCAGTTGTACACCAACGATAGGTCGGGACTCGCAAATTGGATACTAGGTAGCTTAGGACAATCAGCGCTCACTGCAAGACAAAGAAAATGCGAGAAAGTGGTTAAATACAACCGCAAACAGGTTTTAAAGATAAATTATTGGATTTATCTTCTTTCAGTAAAGCCCCTTCCACACGAGCAGGTTTTCCTTGACAAGTTTTCACTTGACAATTTTTCCTGGCTCGTGTGGAAAGGGAACAAGGACACTTGTCAAGGAAAAAATTGCCAAATTTCCCTTCCACACGAGCAAGGAAAAAAATTGTCAAGTGAAAACTTGTCAAGGAAAACTTGCTCGTGGGGAAGGGGCTTAAGGCTCGCGACCGGCATTTAGCCTTTTAATTTAAGTAAAGTTCGCGTCCCCCTTCGCGGTTAAAACAATAAAACAAGCCCCTCTAGAAATACTAGAAATAGAATTAAACTGCATGAAAATTCAATGAGCAGTATAAACTCGCACTAAAAGTGCAGTAAAACTTGCACGAAAAGTGGTAGTGAAAATCACACTAAAACTCGCACAAAAAGTGGCATTAATATTCACAGTAAAAGTGGCAGTAAAACTCCCATGCACTTAAACTCGCATTACAAGTGGCAGTAAGTCTCTTGCGTCACACACACAATATATAAAAACTCGCACTAAAAGTGGCAGTAAAACCCACACTAAAACTCGCACCAAAAGTCGCAGTAAAACTCACATTAAAACTCGTACGACAAAATTCACGCTAAACCTCACCTGTTGAAATTCTCCATTGGAAAGCCAAAGCGGCAACTACAAACGCAATTGTCATTTTCTTTTAGCTGCGAGTTCTTCAAAGTTGTGAGAGCTGTGTAAATTTAAGACTAAAGCCATCTAGCTTTATAACAATTTTACCTCTTAATTATTCAAACTTTTCAATAAGGGAGTTGTTGATTATTATGAAAAATCAAGTTGCATGTTTGTTCATCTGCAACCTGGTACAACTTCACAGATCATTTATTATTCCATTTTCTTCGTTATAATACCGTACTTCAATTAATGTAAAATCACGGAAACAAAAGAAATCCTAAAAGAATAAACTTCAAATACAAACATGTTTCTTTTCTAATTTGTCGCGGTGCAGCAACCCGCGACACTTTTCAGCACAAATTTTAGAGAGACCCTATTGAGAGAGGACAGGAACTGAATACCCCATCTCCTTTAGCTTATTTTTTAACCCATTTTTCTCCCAGCTCCCCTAGCTGTTTTTTATTCAGTAGTTTTTCTCTCCTTCATTGACGTCGTTTGACTCGTTTGGCCATCCTCATAAAATGTTTTGTTTCCCATCGCCCTCTCTCTCGTGAAAGTGGGTCGGTCGGTCGGTAAAAAAATTTAAAAAAGCCGAGAAACGAAATATTGACTAATTAATAAATAAATAATTCCAAGCGAGCCTTGATTATATCTTCCCCGTGACCAACATTTTGAAACGAGCCGATATCACTCTGAAAGGTGTTCGAAGACGTCATTACTGGGACTGATTTAGATGTCAGAATGATTTTAAGATATAAACAAAGAATTTTAAGCTTGGTAACACCCGAGAAAATGTCGCAGGCAATGAATTATATATTTTTTTTTACTTTTGAAAATATTGGGTCGGTCGGGCGATGGGGAAACAAAACATTTTTATGGGGATGGCCTTTCTCCCTCGTCCCTAAACGTCCTAAACCGTTCCTTTCATCTCCGTTTGATTTTCGACCTCAACTGAAACAGTGTTCTTCAGTCCTAATGCCATGTACTACGTATGTTGGTTGGAGAATTTGGTGACGCAGCTATAAAAATTCCCTTAGCTGATGATTTTCTTCATTCTCGTTACTTGCCTCTTTGAGCACGTGTGGATATTGTAAGGAGTAATCAGACGCTGATCACTCAGTTTTAATTATGTCGCGTTGTCCGGCGAACATGACAACGGAGTGGTTCATGTGGATTTTGAACTTAATTGTCATTTTATGTTTTGAAATCGCTGTAAACCTAGTGCTGGTGGACATAACATTATAAACCTGTTATAAAAGATGTGGTTATTGTTTCATCGTGGTTCACAGTAAAATAGATGTGGATGAACGTTTAATCGTTTGTCTCACGATGGAGTCACTAGTACTTGGAGGATGGAGGTCAGTGATCGTGATTATGAATTATAAAGTGAAGAAATGATCTTCGCAGTAAAGAGGTTTGAAAAAAGTCAAGGCCATACATGGGATTTGAACCATGACCTCCATGTTACCAGTGCGATCGATGTGCGAGCCACACATTGGGAGTTCACCTTGCTCCCATTGGTAATCGGTATATGGTTTGTGGAGCGTCGCACCGCTAACGGGTCTCAAACTCATTAAAAATACTCCGCTGCGCGCCGTATTTTCAACTCTCTTCTCGGTGTTTGGAAATCCCGATGAACTGACACTGTCTCTCGTGTTGATATATTACTTGAAGCACACTCTATATCCGCAGTCCATATGATTTTCATCGTGATTTATTCACTCCACTTGTTATTTCCATCCTTCATAAATCATACTGAAATGTAAAGGTGAGGACACGTGTCCTGTGAGCTGTCGCAGTTTTCAAACAAAGTTAATTACACCAACGCCACGTACCTTTACTATCTTCAAAATCATTATATTATGATTTTTCATGGACATTTTTCGGCACCAGCAAGTTGTTTGTTCACCTGGAATCTCTCACAGTTTTATAGCTACCTTTAGGACATTTTCGCGACTAAATTTTCGCGACCAGTTTGATTTTTAACAAAATCGCGGAAATTCGATGACGCGAAAACATGCCCCAAAAATAGCATGACTGAATAGAACGTTCTACACAGTAATCGTTTATTATGTGCAGACGCATC